TTTCAGAATATGCCTTTTTTATGGTTGTGCTTTTTCTTAGATACAGACATTTTGACGGAACCTGGGCTGATATATTTTTCACAGTAAAGTTCAATCTTTGGCTGACTCAAGATTATGATCTTGATTTGCCTTCTGATCATGTCCTTCAAGCTTGACAGTTTCTGCTGGTGCTCATATTTTCTAGCTTCTACTTTATAATTTTTCTACTTATCCTAGTTTTCTAACATGTCCTCCTCCCTCTTTTATTTTGAGTTGATAACAAAAATCCTATCTGTAAATATAATTATGCTATTTGTATTTCTGCAAATATAATTATGCTATTTTATTTGATCTGCAGTGCACAAGTTGGTCATGTTGCATTACTTTCACTTTAAGGATGAAGAAATCAAGATCTAAGAGGGTTATTTGTCTTAGGCCTTAGGACTAGAAGAGGATAAGGATGGAAAGACAAAAGGGACCTAATATTTGACAATCTGTGGTAGGCAATATGTTGGGTGCCTTCTTTCCCTTATATAATTTAATCCTTACACCTGTGGGGTATAGAGTATTGTGCCCATTTTGCAGAAGAGGAAACTGAAGCAACTGAGGCCTGCGTGTTAAGTAGCTTGTATTTGGTTACATAACTAGTAAGAAAAGAGAAGCTTTTATTAAAAACCTGATCTGCCTTGCTCCAAAGATCTTGTTCTTTTTACTGTACTGTATATAAAGCTCCCTGGTATTAAACTCTTAGATCAGTATTTTTCAACCTACTTAGATGAGCAGTATCTTGGCTACACATTAGAATCACCTGAGGATCTGTTTAAAAAAAAAAGACATGTCCTTGTTCTGCCCCAGCCAGTGCTGATAGAACTTCCGTAGGTGAGCCTGAAGCAGATGTGTATATGGGTATACGTTTATATAGAAAATGTAAATTAAAAAGAAATATTATTGAGGTATATATAACATATATAGAAAATAGTGCACAAAACGTGTAACCAGCACTCAGATCAAGAAAGGGAACCTTACCACTTTCTCCAAGGTAACCGATAATCTGACTTCCAATACCAAAGGTTATTTTTGCCTGTTTATGAACTTGCATAAGGTATGACTGGCTTTTTGCACTCAGCTTTGTAAGATTCATTTATGTTCTTATGTGTAGGAGCAGTTTCTTCTTGCTTGTTGCTATATAGCAATAGTTCTCAAACATTTTGGTGTCTTCACTCTTACTAATTATTGAAGACCCCAAAGAGCTTTTGTTTGTGAGTTATATCTATCAATATTTACTGTATTAAAAATTAAAACTGTGAAGTTTAAAAAGTATTTATTAATTTATTTAAAAAATAAACCTATTAAACTTCAGCTTATTTTAATGAAAATAACTATTTTATTCCAAGCCAAAAAAATTAGAGGAATAATATTTTACATTTTTCCAAATCTCTTTACTTTCTGACTGAATACATATCTGTTTCTACGTTCAATTTGTTGCAATTGGTTGTTTTGTTTGTGGTATATAAAGAAAATCCAGTCCCACATATATATGTGGCTAGAAAAGGGAGGAATGTTTTAATTGCCTTTTTAGCTAATTATGGATATTCTTGTTCAGTACTATACCAAAATTTGACAACTGGTAGTTTCTTAAAGGTCCATTGCCTTGCGGACTCTGAAACCATATCAGTGAGCTTTTCATGCTCTGTTACATTAAAATTAATTGGTCTGTTTTTTACTTTGAATGAATCTTCACCTGTGCATGATTTTGTAGCATCATTCGTTGGTCATTAGGAAAATATTGGTTCAGTGAGTTATATGGATCTTCTAAACGTTAACACATTCTGTTATAAAATGTAAAAAAATCACATTTGTTAATATCACCACCAATCTCATCAGACAAGTCTTTTCTAATTTTCACTTGAAAGCTCAAATTTTATCATTGGCAACAAATACTGACAGTTGTTTTCCTTGAAGTGAGAGTCTCACATTGTTCATTTTTGAAAAAATGCCTGCCAAACATCCAAGTCTGAATGATCATAGTTTGTCTGCCAGTCGTTCTTTCTAAAAATGGTGTTTCATGAAAAAAGCAGCTAGTTCAGCTTGCAACTCAGTTGCACAAGTGCGTTAGTGCTTTTCCTTGTGACAACTCTTGGTACTTTGGTATGTAGAAGTGCTTTATGTGTACTTCTTCTTTCATTACAGAATATTGAAAAGATGTGTAGTTAAGGATTGAGATTTAATAAAGTTAATAATTTCTGTGGCTGCATCAAGAACATTCTTTAGTGAAACTGAAACTAGCTCACTTTTTTTGGCATGGCTATGAAGAATGCAGTGACACTATTACAGTTGCTGTCACTGCCTTGATTCAATATAAGATGGTATGTTTTTATTTATTAGTATGATTATGTTTCCAAGCTTTATTTCTTATTCGGGGAATAGGTGGTCTTGTTAAACCTTTACTAAACGTACTGTTTTGAAAGCCAGCATGAATGCAGCTGGTTTTTCCTCGGCTTGGTAGAATCAAAACTCTTCAGCGGTGAGTGAGCAGTTTTACGAATTTGTCAGGATGTTAGAAAATCACTGGGCTTGTTGCTGCTTCTTCACCACTTTGTGGTGAAGGAAAGGTATGAAGTGGCCTTTAGAGATCTGTGTATAGCTGTGCATAAAAGTGGTTTTCTAGGTGTATTTAGTCTTCCTGCCCTTAAGCTGGAGCATTTGCAGTAGAAAAAGAAAAAGATGCAGATAAAGGCACAGGCAAGTAATCTTGTTTTATAATGCCTTTGGTTTTTTGCTGTGTTGGGCAGAGGAGAATGGAAGAGGCAGGCTAGACAAGTCATAGGACTGATCCTTATTTTACCTTTCAGCAGCACCCTACAGCCTGGAACCTTAGTTCTGGGGGAAAAGAATTGACATTGATTTTGCTTACATGGTGCTAGACCCTTTATGTGTGTTATCTTATTTAAACTTACAATTAACCTGTAGGGTAGTCATAATTATTTTATTTTGTACGTGAGAAAACTTAAGCTCAGAGATGTGGAGGCTGCTCAGGACTACCAGCCACTAAGTGACTAAGGTGGGGTTTATCCCCAGACTTTTCTGCCTCCAAAGCCTATGAGTCCTTTTTCCTGTGTGCTATGCTGTCTTCCAAGGACAGCGTCTCCTTGATTATTTGTGTATCCTTGATCCCTGCAACCTAGTAGGGCTTAGTACATTTTTGTTGTATAATTGAGTCAGTGCTAATTGAGTGAACCAGTTTTTACAGAGTAGGATATAACCTAACACCTCTGGGCGGCTGTGTAGATTGGTGCTACCAAGTTTGGTCTGGTCACCATTTGTTGCTAGGGGAAAGGGTCAGTCTTCTTAATGATAAACTCTGTGAAACTATTTAAATAATTTGGATATTTAGGAATCGAAGAGATCTAATGGGATGAGTTTTCCTTAGATTGTTAATGATGTCTTCAGAAATAGGTAGTACATCTATTTTGCCCTGGCTTTCCACCCTTACTAGCTAGGAGACCTTGGGCAAGTTACTTCACTTTTCTGTGTCTCATTTTTTTTAATCTTTGAAAAGGGAAGGGCAATAATAGTAGTACATAATTCCAAGGTAGTTGTGAGGATTGAGTGAGGTAATTCATATAAAGGACTTACCACAGTGTTGGGATATATTGATTACTCAATAAATGGAAGCTGTTGTTCATATTATCCTTCTAGAATGAACTACGGGATTTAATGTGACTTTTAGCATGTGAAGAAGGGGGCTGGCCCATTGGCGCAGCAGTTAAGTGCGTATGTTCCACTTCCGCAGTCTGGGGTTCGCCAGCTCGGATCCCGGGTGCAGATATGGCACTGCTTGGCAGGCCATGCTGTGGCAGGCGTCCCACATATAAAGTAGAGGAAGATGGGCACAGATGTTAGCTCTGCCCAGGCTTCCTCAGCAAAAAGAGGAGGATTGGCAGCAGTTAGCTCAGGGCTAATCTTCCTCAAAAAAAAAGAAAAAAAGGGAGAAGAAGGAAAAATGTTGTGGCTTTTAAAGCATTTTTATTAGAGAAATAAAGCACTGAATTTATTGGGTTTTGTCTTTTGGATTTGTTCTCTGATTGTACTTTACTTGGTCTTCCTGGCAATGAAGCTCTAATTTTGCCTGGATTTCTTGGTGAACCAATGCAGGTATGGTATGGCCTTGACTCTCCATCAACTTTTAAAATTTTGTAGTCTAGTTGAAACAGGGTAGATTGTTCTGGAGAGTTCACTGGGGTTGATGGTTCTTTCTAAATTAAAAATGTCAGTGCTTGTGAGAAACACCCGTTTCTAAATTTTTTGTCACTATAGCAGTCATCACTGAGAGGATCCAATATTTCTCCATAGTACCCTGCCCCAGAACCAGAAGAGGAGTGTGTTTTTTTAATTTTTCTGCATTTATTCATATTGGTGGTAATATCATCCATATTTTTGAGATTTATAGCTGTCACAGTACATTTTGGTCAGGCTGTGGAGTTACGGAGGGGAAAGCCAAGTATCCATTATAAATGAGCATATCTGAAAGCCTGCCTGCCCTTCAGCCAGGTGTCAGTGTAGACACACTGTCTTCTAGATGGGAGTTAGCAGGGACCTCTTGAATACTTAACACCTTTGAGGGGTGGGCTAGGTTCCCTAGTGTGTGTATAAGGCAGTTAGTTCAGTATCTGCTCCCTCACTCCCTCTCCAGTGTCATTCATTGTTTGTCTCTCTTCCCAGCTTGCACATTTTATCTCTAGTACTAATGAAGTGTACACTCTACTGTGTTTGCAGTTCTCCAGATTTGGCATGCCTCTTGTTTCGGTGTCTTTGCACGTGCTCCTCCCTGGGCCTGGACGTCTCTTTGTAACTTTTAATTTGTCTAACTCCTACTCAGCCTTTAAGGCTCAGCCTAGGAGTTAACCTTTTGCAGAAAGCTGTCCTTTCTTTCCCAGGGTGGGATTGGGTGCCCCATCTCTGGGTTGCCCTGATTATAATTATCCATGTATTTATTATTTATTGGTCTTCTTCACTTGCAGTGGGCATGGATTGTATCCGATCATCCTTTTATTTTCATGAACCCGTTTTTGGACCTTGCGTGGAACAGGCATCAGTAAGTTCTTGTTGAGTGAATCCATAGTTTCAGGCTGGTCCATTAGCAGCTGTAATTTCCCAACCAGTCAATGTTACTCCGTGTTGTTCTAGGCTGAGTTTTAATACAATGGCTTTTCTCTTGTGACACCTCCCCCTACCTCCCCTGTGTTCAGCCCACTCTCACGTAGCTTTCATCTGTTCTTCGCCCATAGCTGGGTCAGTGGAGCTACGTACACGGTAGACATGTGGATACTCAGAAAGAACTTGATTTGTGACAGATCCTGGAATCTCACTTGGAATGAATGAAGGTCACAGTGGTAAATGGAGAAGTTGGGGCCTTATGATTGCTTTTCTGGTCAGTTTTAACTTTTAGATAACATAAAACAAATGCTACAAAACCACATTTTATCAATATTCTGCTTGTGCATTTGATTTTTTTTAACGTAAGTATAAGATTTGACTTGTCTGTTACGGTGGTTGGATGACTGAGACTTTAAGAAATGTGGGGTTTTTATGACTGCCCTGTTAAGCCCTTAGTAGTTCCTGACAGGTGATTTAAACTATAGCTTCCAAAAAATATTGTGCTGATTAGAGTCTTAATAGCAGGCAAAAGTAATCATTTATGCATGCATTCATTTAGTTAACGTGAGTGTCAGGCTCTGTGCTAGGTAGGTTCTGATGATACAGAGATGAGTGAGGTGTGGTCTCTGTCTCCAATGAGCTCCCAGATGCAAGGGAGACATTATAAACAAATAACGTTACAGTTCACTGTGTGTGGATGCTGTAAAATAACTAGCAGAGAGGGAGGCGTTAATACCTTTTTCCGGGAAGAGTTCTTGTAGGAGTAGATACATGAGCTTATTTCTGAAAGAAGACTAGGTCTTGTGTGTGGAAGATCCTGAGTATAGAGTCAGAACATCTGGATTTGAACCATAGCTCAGCCACTTACTAGCTGTCTGACTTGGGACGAGGTGTTTACGCACTCTGAATCTCAGTTTTTTCCCCTGTAAAGTGAGGATAGTCATGTTCGTGTCTGTCTTTGAAAGTTGTGGGGATTTAATACATGTGAAAGAACTTCATAAATGTGCTATACAAATATTACATCCTGGTTTTTGTTTTTTACTTGTTCATTGATAATAGTATTTTGATAGATTGGAGCATCAGTTTTCTTACCCAAACCAGAAATAAGTGAGAAGAACATTGGATTATATTAGTGTGTAGATGTCATTTGTGAAGTGCTAACAGTGTAAATCTCATGAGTTAGGACAAAGAGTTTTAAGTCCAGAATTCATGAAACTTTAGTTCTGTGCTGTTATGGAAGATACTGATTAAGATGCTCCAAGGAGTGGTCTCTGCAAAAATATTGAGTGTTGTTCTGAGTGGCTTGGACGGCAACAAGCTGAACTGAAAAGAGCTCCATTACTTGTCAGAAGACTTAATGTCTGTGCCGCCATTGAAGGTTATTTAACGTTTCAGAATTGCACTTTCCCCATCAGTAAAGCAGAGAAAAATAATAGTTATTTTGCATACTGAGATTTAGGGATAAATTGGGTAAAGTGCGCACCACTAGCCTTAATCAGTTAAAAGTTTAATTTGTAGAATATTTAAAAAAAATTTTTCCTTTCAATACAGTAGACTTCTTTAGAGAAGCTTGCTTTAAAGCATAGAGGGGGTATTCTCTCTTTTACACTATACTATAACACTGATAGTATTTTACTTCCTTTTTCAAGTTTATTCCTCAGAATAATTTTGCAAGGTGAGTTTAAATCATAGCCATTGCACCTACTGGCTGTGTGACTTTCAAAGTTACTTAATTTTTCTATAACTTATTTTATCCATCTATGAGATAGGGATATAGTGGTATTTACAGTATACTCAAACATCGCTTAACGATGTGGACACATTCTAAGAATTGCATTGTTAGGCAATTTTGTTGTTGTACGAACATCGTAGTGTGTATTTACATAAACGTAGATGGTAAAGCCTACTACACACCTAGGCTGTATGGTACTAATCTTACGGGACCGCATCGTGTATGTGGTTCTTCATTGCCTGAGATGTTATATGGCGCATGACTGTATATAGTCATTGGGAGGATTAAATGAGTTAATTAGATAAAATGCTTAGTTTGGTGTTTGGCATATAGTACGATTTCAGTAAATGGTAGCTTTGTTATTATCACTTTCCTTTTATAAATGTGGAACAGGACACAGGTTCAGCAACCTGACTAGATTGAATTGTAAGAACCAAGGATGGGATTCTGTCCAGGTTTCTGTGATGCCAGAGCCTTTACTCTTTATCCTTTTACCAGGCTACATTTTGTAATTAACATTTTATTTGTATGGAAATGTATTCTGAAGTACTGTAGGGCGTTCAGAAATAATTTGTTACTCTTAGATACTTAAAACTTCGTTCAGTGATGTTTTACTAATAGTGTGCATAAACTCAGAACTAAATTGGTTAGGGAAAGAACTGTTTGGCCTGGTTTCCCTGTGATGAGACACACTGTGAGGACAGATATTCTGGGGTCATGGTCAGTGGTTAGTAAAAAGAACAATGTGTTTTTTCCCCTCCTAAACTGCTTTATTGAGGTAAAATTGATAATAAATGACGCAAATGTAATGAGTTTGCTAAGTTTTGACATACATACACACCTGTGAAACCATCACCACTATTCAGATAGTGAATATATCCATCAGCTCCCAAGTTTCCCAGTGCTCCTGTGTCAGCCCTTCCTCCTGCTGTCCCCGGTCCCTCATTGAAGCAACCATTGATCTGCTTTCTATTACTATAGATTAAACAATGGTCTTGAAGTCACCCCAATCAGGATTCACATCCCTAGTCTGCCGCTGTATCACTTGGAGGATTTGAAGAAGTCATTTCATCTCTCAGCCTAATTTACTCATCTGTAAAATAGGGATTCTATTATGTGCCCAAAGGACCATGAGGAAGATAGGAACGGGGTGCGGAAAGAGCCTAGCGTGGTGCCTAAAACATAGCAGGCCTTCAATCCTAGAAGTCAGTATTACCAGCCCAGCTTTCTGTTGGTGGTCCAGGGTACATTTAGGAATTCAGAGCTCCCAAAATGCTTCTCTATCACCTAGACTTCGTGTCCCCTCCCACTGAATGAGCTTTTAGTGTTCTCGAAACAGGAAAGTTTAGATTTAGGCAGCTTGAGGCCCTAAAGGGCTTTCTGGTACTCCTTCCTTCTCTTCTCCATGCCCAGTGTTCCACATGCTATTAATTATGAACAGATGTTCTTCATAAATAAGCGAAGAACTCCACAGCAGATTTTTGAGTTCCTTATGCGTATGTTTAAGTCTGGCATTGTGATAAAGCTGCATGAGCAATGAACTTGTAGTCAAAGTTCTGGGTTTTAGTTTCCATGCTTCCCTGGGCAAATCATAAAACCTTTCTGAGCCTCAGTTTTCTCACAGATAAAGTTGTGGAGGATCATATCACACAAACTTGTTGAGAAGGTTCAAGGAGAATTTTGAAAATGAATTGTACGATGAAGTCATAATTCATCCACATTGATCATCCCATGCCTACCTCGAAGTATTAGAAATTTGTAAAAGGTTCAGGTAGCATTTAAATTTGATATCTTAGAGTTTTTTTTTAAAAGTATATTTTATTAGGTTTTCCTAATAGGTAGCACAAAAAAGCAAAAACTGAAGGTTAAAAGTGCTTAGAATTTAAAGTCAGAGAAACTTTAGCTGAAATTTTAGTTTAGCAGCTGTGTGACCTTGGGCAAGTTATTTAATGTCTCTGAGCCTTAAATTCTTACCTATCAGTAAGGGATATCTAGAGTGCCTCTGAGGATTGTTGTGAGGATTAGAAATAATGTGTGTACAGTGGTTGGCATATAGCAGATACCCAGGGATGCTAGTTTCCTTCCTTCCATTTCCAGAATTGGTAGATTTGTGGAGTTCAGTGAACTATTACTGAAGGGATTACTTTTGCCTTCCCCATTCTGTGATGCAGTTTGGCCCAGGATAGCCATTAGGTAGTGTCTCAGATTTCCCACTTAAGTGTGAAAATGCAATTTGAGGTTTATGATGGCAGCAGTTATTTTTCCCTAATAATGGAGGAGCCGATGCCATGCTTTTGTACTTTCTCATTAATTCTCATTGCTATAGCTGGAGGTACTTTGTATTGTGGGAGCTAGGGAAACTGGGGGCCATTTTTTGGTCTCTTCTGTCTGTTTATTTGGATTGGAGAATTGTCTAAAGGTTCCTTAGTGAATAAAGTGAATATGCTGAGTTCAGATTCTTCCTCCCAGGCGAGCCCAGGAACTACCTACGTGGGGGAAAAACAAATAGGAGAATGTGGGGTAACTGGTGAGTTCTGATTGTAAAGTTGTCAGGGTCTTTGAGTTTGGGAGTGGTGGAGAAGAAGTTGATTCTCCGACCCCTTCCCCTCCAAGAGCCTTTACAGCCCAACACAAAGGAGCTTTAAGATGGAGGTCTGCATTGTAATTTCCTAGAAATTGCTGCTTCTGGTAACTGCTCATTCAGTTTGCACCTCTTTGCTGCAGTGGATGAAACAATGGGGACAATAAAACCATTTATCTGATGGCTGTAGCCTCAATGGGATGTTTGTTTTAATAATGGTATAATTTGCAGGCCTCATAAATTGTGATTTTATTCTCATGGAAATAACTGCCCAGCGGTCTTTGGATTCTCAGGTCTCCTGTTGTGGATAATTTCACTAACATTCTGGCTGACAATTCCCTTTATTCCAGACTTCGTTTTAGATTGTTCAGGCTGGTTGGGTAATTAGCCCAGTGCAGAGCCAATTTTCTTTAGTTTGGGGCTGGCAGGTGGTTACTAGGTAACTAGAGGATCTTATGAACAGGGAAGAAATTCTGCTTAGGGATTTGAGGCAAAATAGCTGTGAGTTTGGTTTTGATTGTTATCTGGGATTTTTTTTTAAAGGTTTTATCTATTCAGTGCCAAAATATCTGGATGAAAATAAAAAATTTAAATCATCTGAGTATTTATTTTCCATAGTACCAAA